TTTGCCTGAAGTATAGCAATGGGCCCTCCAAGAGTAAAGTTTCTGGTCGAGGAGGGAGCCGACATGGAAGCCGTTGATCAAGAAGGGAATACTGCGCGTCTCCATGCTCTTGAGAACCGTTACATGGAAGTAGTCAGTCTCTTTCTTGACATCGACTTGGCAAATGATCGGTGCAAGATTGGGTCCGTGCTACTCTCCGCAGTTGAGGATGATGACCCTGAGCTGGTCAGCCTTCTAATCAACAAGGATATTGACCCGAACTCAAGTTGCAAGACGGGCATTGGCCGCGGTGATTGTACGGTTCTCACTTGGGCCGCCAAGAAGGGATACACAGAGCTGGTGCAGCACCTTATCCACTACGGTGCAGATGTCAATTTGCAGGATAACGAACGTTGGACTCCACTTGCTCGGGCTGCACAATATGGTCATGATGCTGTCGTCAAACTACTAATTGAGCACAACGCCTATATTGATTTTCCTAACGATAACTTCACGCCTCTTCAAATCGCTGCAGCCAACGCGAACCAGAGCACGGTCAAACTTCTCGTTCAGCATGGAGCGTGTGTCGCGCACTTAGATCTGACTCCCGATTCGCTTAGCCTTGGATATTACGAAATGAAGCAATTAAGTTCACGGGGATCCACAATAGAAATGAGGGATTCTGAGGGACGGACACCTTTGATTTGTGCCGCAGAAAAGGGTGATGTTGCCAGGGTCAGATTCTTGGTCATGCACGGTGCTGTCATTGACGCGAAAGCTGCAAGTGGTCGTGCAGCACTCTTGCAAGCAGCTGCACGAGGCCACTACGCAGTAGTCAAGATACTGCTGAAGTATGGAGCCGATCAGACAGTACGTGATGATGATGGCGCAGATGCTGTTGTTTTGGCTGTTAATGAGGGCCATTCAGAGATTTGGAAGCTTCTTCATAAACGCTTGGGTCTATAATATATTTCTATTCCTTGGCATGAATATTAGACATCATAACAGGGTGGGGCTCAATCGAAGTCCATGGGTTCTGTTTTCTCGGAGGGCTTTATCTGTAATGTTGTTTACCCATCTGCTTTCTTCTGATGCCTGTAGTTAGTAGTAATAGTTGATTCAGCTACATCCTTTGTATTCCAACAGTTTGGATACATATACACTGTGACTAACTCATTTATTGAAAAACTTTATATAAGAGTTGGCAATATGAACAACGATGTCCCGCCCAAGTAAGCTTTGCTGTCTACTTTCAATCCGGGAGTCGACAGGCTCAGGCGTTTGTAATTCATCTGAAGCACGTAATACAAATGACTGGACGGACACCTCCTGAAATAGTTGAAGGTAAGACCTCCACTGAGTAGAAGTAGGTATATTTATCAAAGATCTTTTTGCTTGTTCTGTAATCACCGTACTCCTAAGCGGTAGTTGAAGTTGAATTCAAAAAAAGAGTGGTAAAAGGTCCCGGAAGGCAACTCTTTCCATAACATTCCAAGCTAAACCCTGTTATCCGTCAATTAACATGTGACAATCTCCACCAGGGGACAGACATATTCGAGCTTCGGGACTTTTCAGCTTCTTTTACAAGGCTGCAATAACAATCCTGTGCCTGCAAGGCTGAGTGCTCGTGGTGGTGTTATTCCATCATCTGAAACCCTCTAATGCATGGACGAGGTCTTATCACAGCGCTTACGCAAGTCGCCAAAACTGTCATTTGGCTTGCGCAGGGGTTGAAAGCCAACTATTGTGCATCCGCCGTTCCCCGGCACGAGGCTAACGACGCGTCTAATGCACCTTCGCTGCGCCGCATCGCTCCTTTAGTGTACTTTTTCAATGTGTTATCTTAGAGAAATTGTCTGTTGAGAGAGTCGGTGAAAGGCGGATAGATCTCTGCCTGGATCAAACCCCTGATAGCGTATAGTATTCCATATACTGTAATCCAAACTAGAGGCGGGAGTGAAAATTACAGGAGGTATTCACCTGGAGAGTGAGTTCAAGTACCGCGTATTCTATCTACCAGAAGGTATGTTTTGATTGCGAATTTCCACCTCAACAATACAGGAAGCCTGCTTCTTGCTTTCTGAACTGAACTAGACTCAACTTCAGTTCTGCCTGTTGTGGCGTTTGATTCAGCCTTGTCGGAAGCCTTCTTTCACCCCTGCTGTGTTGGGAGTTTTGTTATGTCTCTTGCAATAAAACCAATTAACAAGATTTTCCTGTCTCCTCAAGTGTGTCCCTCCGTCTTCTGTTATCACCTTCCTCATGCCGACCTTCAAGCGCAAAGCCAGGAAGCCCAGAGCATGCGTCAAAACCGGTGGACTCTGGAATGATGAAGAAAGGCAGCGCCTGTGGGATCAGCGGTCGTTGTACCGCCACATGCACTGGAAGCCATTTGGCAAGGTGTGCATAGCTTGTTCCTTTCCTTTCATATATCACCCTCTCCACCCATGGTGGCATACTGACTCTACGCAGATATTCTTCCCCCATAGAAGTCTAAACGCTCTTCAGAAGGCATATTCCGTATGTCATGTTATGCTCCCACTACCAGGACCTACCTGACTTTCGCAATAGAATATGAGTATACAGAGAAGACTAACAGCCAACATGGTATGTTTGGCCCAATTCACCTCCCTATATTGATATCTATCGTACTAATGTTGCAGTCAAACCCTGATACCCCTCAGGATCCTCCTGCAGGCCGCATTGTAACGCTACGAACAAGGGCCAACAAACGTTCACTGCCTGACGAAAGCGCGCCTGAGAGCCGTCCGGGGAAGCAGACCAGAACAGCTGCGGTCCTTTCTTCGGGGAAGGACCAAGTGGAAGAAACGGATCAAAATGGCATGACAGACGAGGATAGCTCTTCGGACTATGAACAAGACTCCGATGAAGAGACGCTTCAGGGGCCCAGTCTACCTTTTGAAGAAGAAGAAAGTCAAGATGGAATCGAGACAATCGTTATCGATGATGGGAACAATGATCCTGAAAGCCACCAGAACGGTGAAGAAGAAGCAGAGGTACACAGGCCTGATGCCGAGGAAAATACTGATGAGCCTGTCTCTCGCTCCACAGTAAGTGAAACGATACACATGCTCACTAGTCTTGTGTCAAGCTTACAGACTCATCCTAGACGGGCGTTTCCAGCAATAACCCCCCTCCTACAGGACTCATGCCTGGACGGAAAAGCATGACACCAAGTTCAAGAAGTGAAGAAAAATACGCAGGCTACGAGAAGCTTGCAAAAGAGGCGACTGAGCCCACTAGGCCTTCACTCCCACCGGACGTACAATATCTCAAAAATCTCACATGGAGGTTTGAAACTGTATTTTTCAAGACGCATGATCAGGAGAAAGTCATCTCCTCACTGCAAAGCCAGGTTGAGGATCTCAAAAATCTCAACTCAGACAAGGCTGCGAAGCTGGAGTCCGCACAAGAGGAGGTTAGGAAACAACTCCAGACTATAAGATCCCTCGAACAACGCGAGCAGAAGTATAAAAAGGAGATCGATGACTGGAAACGCAAGATCAAAGTTTCCGAACAGCAAGTCACCGTCCTCGAGTGCAAGGTAGCTATGGCTCGAAACCAGAATAAATGTGAGACGTGTGAGAGGGTCTCAAAGTTTTTCGCACCGGCTTCCGCCTCAGGGAAGGCCGGTGAGTCTTCTGGCAGCTCAATTTCATGAAACATTCGGTTTCAACTGATTTGATATTATACTCAGCTTCTTTCGCATCATTATGGGGCGGTATCTATGCACGGTCTCCCCTTATTTTATAGTCATACGAACATTTTGCAGTTTGATATATAATAGCAGGCCCATTTATGTTGTATTAGCAAGCCCTCTCTTATTGCATAAATGTACCAGACGACCGCCACTAGTAGTAGCTCTGTAATCGAGATAATTGCGATAGTTGCTTATTCAAAGATATCGCGGTCAAGGTCTGCGGTTTGGTCCATCTGCATTCTAGCATGCCTTGAGGAGCGGAGAGCACCCTGTCATAGTATTTTAATGGCTAGAGCAGTCACTTGTCTAGGCGCCTCAGATACCCCTCATTCGCAAATTGGGATGCTTGAAAAGATATCTAAAAACAATTGAGCCTGCTCTGACTCTTCGTGCCGACTACACTGGTTTAGGAATTCCTCTGTTGGGAGCTTGATATGCTGGAAAACAAAATCGGTAGTCAATGTGTCTAGCGGGTTGCTTGTACCCTCCTGAGGGTCGTTGTCTGTAGGTATGTCAGTAGACAATAGTCTATAAAAGGTGGTTAGATGGCAGATTTGGCATACCAAGCGCATCAAACACCACAAGTAGTCTTTGAATACAGTAGTCCGCCTTCTGGTTCACGATGCTTCCTCTGCTGTTAATCCTCATGATGTGAAGGCAGGATTCTATTTCTTGGCGTATCTGGGGTGGATTCGGCTCGGAATTTGAAGGATAATGTTGGCGAACGAGGAATAGTGCTAGGCAGTGGAGGATAGCTGTGAAGACTAGAAATATTTTAGCACGTTGGTTCATAAGATAGGCTTCCTTTGGGAATTACAAACTTGTATAGTTGCATGTATACCACGATGCATACAAGTCCATGAACCCCTGGAGTGTGGAAATGTGCGATATCAAACACCTCAATTCTTGTATTGCGAACCAGTCATCCTGGAGGATTTGGGACCGAATGCGCTGGATATATTCCCTGATATGCTCTCCCGTTGGCTTCATTGAGTCAGATTTCAAGAATTTCATCATTAGAGGGAAGTTCATGATCAATTTCAGTCTATGGTATTGTATGCATAGAAGTGTTCGTACGGCCCAGCGAGTATCTGGCAACGCTGACAGCTTTAGTAACTCTTCACTCGGGAGCAAGGCAATGCGATCGGGAAGGCTGTCAGCCCATTGTTCGAGCCTGAAGTGTAAGAGTTCATGTTTGTTGATGATGGCTTGTACATCGAGAGATTGACCCGACTCCAAATTCTGATCGTACAGTGTTTCGATTATGTCGGCCAGGAGTGTGTTAGATGATCTTTATAGAGTAAGCATATATCGCTTTGTAGACTTTGGGGGTTAACCAACGTTATTTGGGAGAGATAAATAGAGCTTATATCCCCTGGCATCGCGTGCTGTTTCATTCTAAAGGTCATTTCAAAGGAGTAAGGGATAAGAAACGGTCTCCCCTGGGTCAAACCCATAACCCTGATAAAAGCCAGGTTACTACTACCTTGCTGAACATGGCACCCAAAAGTGTGAGGGCAATCATATCTTCCGATATTCTGAAAGGACGATAAGTGGCCTGAACATACCTGTCATTGTTCAGAACACCCATCCATATCTTTTGATGTAGCTTTTCAGGTGTATGATCACGAGCATCCCGGGCAGAGGCACAATGAAAGCCCATCTGCAATGAGGTTCTTACACAGTTTGTATGGGTTGTATAACTTAAAGTAGATCTTTGATGATTCTGCTCGTAGATGGACTTCAACAGTAATACCTGGACTGTATTACTGTCAAATCAAGTAGAACGTTGAAAGTATAATGGAGGCTGACCTAGCTCAACAGTGGGTCTCTCCAGTGTCCGCTGGTCTAGAAGACCCGCACAATGACTATAGAATACTTCTGCTTCCGGAAGCTGTAAGGATGCAGATGCATGTGCCCAAACCATATTCAAAAGAGCCAATAAACCCCTTTGAAACCTGGGTGGTCTTTCGAGGTGAGCCTTCTCATAGGAGTCCAACACTGTCTCGTAGTCGACATATGGAAGGACCACACTGATTGTAGTGGAAAAGCGACTAATAAGATACAGTGCCTCATCTCTAGACGGAAGAGCGTGTATATCCTCCAGAGATATTGAGAGCTGCTTCACCATTGATGCTCTCCCACTAGTTGGTCTCATACCTTGTTTTGATATGTTGCGGCTATGAACAGCAGTTTGTGCTTGATTGCTCAATGTGAGGTGTAAGAGAGCGCTTTCAGCGAATGCGTTTGAGACGTGTCTGAACATGGCGTAATTTGAGCTTGCCCCTGCCCAGAATGATTAGCTTAGCTGGATTCCATGCTAGAGGACTGCGTACCGAAATAAATATGGCCAAGGGATGTCTCAGAGAAAGCATGTGTAGCGAGTTCATCAACACTTCTGTCTTCGTTGACTGTTTCCCCAAGCTCCCTCAGATCTGACGAACGTGTTTGCGGTTCAGCCTCATGGCAGAACTTATACCCCAAGACCTCAACTCGGCGAGATAAATCCTTCTGACCTCTGTGAAACCAAAATTAACATTCACCCTTCGCTATAATAGCATGCAGCTTGACCTCTTATCCGTTGGACGTCGGATACCCGACTCTATAGGCTGCTGATACTTGCAGTCTCTCCCCCTGTGCCGACATCGTGCACACGCCGGCCTTGTTCCCTCACACTAAGAGTATCAGTTCTTTGTATACAGAATTGACAGATCTTGTTTAATGAGTAGATACCTTCAGTTTCCGGCATCGACATTCCGAACAGGCAACCTCAGTTCTTCGCCTGCGATGTGGCCGATTTGACATGGTAGCAGATTTACAAGATGATTCCATTGGGCGTAGTGAGAGACGGAAGCAAGCATTCTCAGCTCATCAATAATTCAGTATTCTGTATAATGCGGGGAAATCAGTACCTACCCGATCTCCATCACCTCCTCTGGACCAATCGGATTCGCGCTTCCCGAGCGTAGCCGAAGGTATCCCCATTGGGCTGTAAAACATGGAAAAACTACACTATCAATAACGAGATGGCCTACTTATGCAACTGGGAAAAGCTATTCGGATGGCCGACCTCGGTTATGGATGAGAATAATAACAGCTCACACAGGTTTGGTACGTTGTAGACAAAGAATCTATAAGAGCAGCGGGATGGAAGCATAATATACTACAGTAGGCCAAACCATCTCAACTATAGTACTTGCCGCTTTAATCTAAAATACGAGAAGGAGCAAACCACATACTTTAAAGATGACCGTCTTCATACAGACCATTACATCTACTCCCATGACCAGCGCTGGCCTCTTCCTAGCGCTCATACTTATTGTCTACTCTATCTACCAACGATATCTACATCCCCTTGCCAAATACCCCGGTCCATTCCTCGCATGCCTGACCGACCTCTGGCAGGTCTACCAGTTCCTGACCCTCAAGCAGCCATATAACCTTACAGAGCTCCATGCCAAGTATGGACCAATTGTCCGATACGGACCAGACAAACTCAGCATTACCCACGAAGGCGCCATCCAAGCAATCTATCAGAAAGGTGGAAGAGGAATGCCAAAGACAGAATTCTACGACGCATACGGCGCAGCTCATCCGAATGTATTCGGTATGCGGGATGAAGAAGTAAGACTTTTTCTTGTCCTACTATAAGAATTGCTAGAAAGCTTTTCTAAATGTGATTAGCAACACTCCATCCGCAGACGCCATATGTCCCATGGTTTTTCCATGAGCTACGTGAAAGAGATGGAGCAATACCTGGATGTGAATATTCGAATTCTGAGAGATAAGATCAGGGAACATAGCTCTCATAATAGAGCATTTGACCTCAAAAAGGCTCTGCATTATTACGTGGTTGACGTCCTTGGTGAGCTGGCCTTCAGTCAATCATTCGGAATTCAGGAGACGGATGACGAGGCGCGAGTCCCGCCAGTCATCGAACATAGTCTGCTTGCGGCTGTTACTGGTGCCTGGCCTGCTATGACGACAACACTGAAAAAATATTTTCCGCTTGTTCCATACAAGCCACTTCAACAGCTCTTTGCTGGCCGCAAAGCTTGTGCCGATCTCGCGTCGGAGTGTGTTCGACGCAGGTTGGGGGATTTTGGTGGAAATGGGATGTCCAAAAGCGACGATAGGAAGGATATCCTAACTAATCTAATATTGGCTAAGCATCCTGATACCGGGGAACATCTTACGCAGACGGATCTTGAGACTGAGGCTTTTGGATTCATGTACGTCTCTTTTCACACTTCATAATGTATCTGTCATCAAATACTAAAGGGAGTTACAGCATCGCAGGGACACACACGACGAGCGCCACGACAACTCTGCTATTTTACCACCTGCTTCATAACCCTCGATATATGGAGGAGTGCGTAAAGGAGATTGAGACCAATCTGCCTCCCCTTACATACGGAGAGACAGCATATTCTGTATCTGCCGCAGAAGCTGCTCTACCGTTCTTGCGCCACTGCATAAGGGAGAATTTCCGAATTACGCCGGTCTTCACAATGCCTCTAGCTCGGAGGGTCATGAGTCCAACGGGTGTGATGATAGACGGGCAGCATATACCACAAGGGGTAAGTCGATGTATAGACTACGTCCACAATGCCGACTGTTGTGCTAATGATACGCAATAACTGCAGACATCAATCGCCGTCTGCAACCACGCATTCCATCACAACCCTGACGTCTGGGGTGATGATCACAACATCTTCAACCCGTACCGATGGGAGAACACTGAGATTGCTGCCAAGGCACGGATATTAATGCATTTTGGCCTTGGTGGACGTCAATGTATTGGGAAAACCATTGCAATGACGAATATTTATAAAATTATGAGCACATTGTTAAGGGAATTCAACTTCGAGCTTGCTGATAAGCAGGCTCAGAGAAAGGGCATACCTGAATTGATTAGTGTTGGGATTAGCGATCTGCAGGAGGCATTGATGGTCAGAGCACATGTGCGGGTGCAAGAGAAGGTTTAGTGGGCGCATAATTTATGAAGTTCCGGGAACCATAATTTTCTCACAATCAATGAACAATTCCCGGAGACAGGGCGGGAGGCTGTATAAGGGACCATTTTGCCGGGGCACACGCCGGACACAAATGCAAATCATCTTGGTATTCTGACAGATTCCATGTGGCTCCTTTCGTAGACATTCTCTGGGAGCCCACTGTTCTCTATCGTAGTACTGCATAGGTCTTCACCGGGATGTTGACGACGACCACACATCGGAAATTCCGAGAATACGAACACAGATTGCTTGGCGCATTGGCACGATAAAAACCACGGTATGATACCTGCTTACACTGTTATTATCAAGCATAGCTACCCAGCATCATGGCAAATCAGACACGAGCTTGCCGCAGGGTCCCTGAGGTCGGCAGTTGGCTGCGGGGAAATTAGCTTGGCGGGCTTGGAGATCCGGGGTACAGGTCGGCTAAATTTTTAGGCCCTTTCCTATATTAGGTGAGTTGGGTTGGGTGTAAAAGTAGGGTCATAGGCCCTTAAATTCAAGCGTATCCTCTCGGCAATTCCCCATTAACCGCATAGCAAGATGGAAAAGCCCGGTGTTCAGCACATTGAGAGTGATGTTAATGGCGATGGGAATATCGCCATCAAAGGCAGAGATCACAATGATTTGGAATCTCTTGATCGGTCGCATGAAGAAAATACCAAACATAGTGAATCAGATGCTTTGACGGAAGAACATCGTCAATATTTGATTCAGAGATATGGGACAGTAGAACTGGACCCTATCCCGGACATGACTGATGCTGATCCCTATAATTGGCCGACATGGAAGGTATGTTTCACCTTATACCGAGTCAAACTCCAAGAACTCAATATTGACAGGCCATTGGTGTAGAAAATTATTAACTTAGCCCTTGTTGCGTTCCATGCTATGATGGCGACATTTACAGCATCTTCAATTCAATCCGCTTTCGTTGAGATCGCAGAGGACCTTGGAGTCAGCGTACAAAGAGCAAGCTATTTGACTTCACTAGTTATCGCCATCCTCGGGGGTGCGCCTCTTTTCTGGATGCCATTGTCCAACCGCTATGGTCGACGTCCTATTTTCTTGCTTTCGTTGCTTTGCAGTCTGGTTGCCAATGTGGGCTGCGCCAAAAGTCCGTCGTATGCGACCATGGGATTTTGCCGGGCCCTTGTTGCATTCTTTATATGTCCTGCCGCTGCAATTGGTAGCGCTGTGGTCGCCGAGACCTTCTTCAAGAAAGACCGCGCAAGATGTATGGGCGTGTGGGCTGTCATGGTGACTTTGGGTGTACCGCTTGCGCCTCTGCTTTTTGGGTTCGTTACTAGTCGAGTGGGATACAGGTGGATCTACTGGATATTGGCCATTGTCAGTATGAATGTCACCTAAATGGGAGAGGGATGCTAACTGTACCAGACCAACGGCGTTCAATTCATCATTTATTTGATCTTCGGCCAAGAAACTCTATACATCCGTGGTAGCGCTGCTAGTCACGTCAGTAACCCAACCCTCCACCAACGGTTCCTTCATGTGAAGCGCATTGATCCAGCGCCATTGGAGATATGGGACTTTCTACGCCCCCTCGGTATGGCAATCCGACCCTGCGTTATGATTCCAGCTGCCGCATATGCGATGATATTCCTCCTCGGTGGTATCCTCCCCTCCATTGAGATGCCGCAACTCTTCCCCGAGATGTTCGGACTTAATTCAGAGCAGGTTGGTCTGCAGTTTATCGCGATGATTATCGGCTCTCTGCTCGGCGATCAGGTCGGAGGATTCTTATCCGACCGTTGGATGTTGTACGGGCAGAAGAAAACGCAGCGGCCAGTTGCACCGGAATTCAGACTCTGGATAAGCTATCCAGGTATTATCCTGACGATAGTTGGCGTCGTTATCTTCCTTGTCCAGCTAGACCATGCTTCATCGCAATGGAATATCACTCCGTTGGTCGGGGTCACCATCGCGGCTGTTGGAAACCAAATTGTCACTACCGTAAGCTTCACATATGCCGTGGATTGTTATCGATCAGAAGCAGCAAGCGTTGGCGTTTTTATCACATTGGTGCGACAGACATGGGGATTCATAGGACCATTTTGGTAAGTTTTCTGTGTTTGGGAGGGAGATGTGGATATACTGACAGTAAATCAGGTTTCCGCAAATGTTGGAAAATGTTGGGTATCTGGGGAGTACGGGAATTGCGATTGCCTTGATTGTGGCTGTGAGTGCTATTCCAATGGCTCTGTTGCATTGGAAGGGTAAGAATTGGAGGCAGAAAAGAACATGAATACCAAATGGCTTATCCTAACGCAAGTTCCGCTGATTTCTCATTCAGCCTCATTTTTGCTCAATTTACTTATGAGCAGCTGCTTATTGTCCTGCTGCCTCACTTGAGCAATGGCCGAGCATGTATAGTATTTAGACATTCAATCCAATGTGAGATACAGACTGCTATAATCCTGGTGGAGAAGGGGAGGGTTTTATAGCTTGCAAGCACCGGTTTTATTTGATATCCAAGCTTTATAACCATTGCCAGTTGGCCCTTATAAGAATCAGTGCCTAGCTTGGATTCTCTGTAGGTAGTGGTTAGACACTCTTCATTTATGTCTACTCTGTCAAGGGTCCTCAAACTTTGTGCCAGACTCTATCCCGCATACTAAACGTATAGCAACTTGTAGTGTCGATTGTTGGGGATAACAACATCGCAGCACGTGTGAGAGAAAACACGGATTATCAGAGAATATATAGCGCGAATTCACGCCCCAATCAAGCTGCTAGTAGACTCTGTTAATTGTTGTTAATTGGCATTCTATCATGGCGTTCTGGGCTCTGATGGTGGGCCTAGGTGGCGTTCATATTGAAGAAAGTGGCGCTAGCACAATTCACGAAGATGCACTGCCAATTTACAATTTGTCACCTGAATTCTAGAGATTTTATCGCACAGCTAGCTCTAGAAGTCTATACTAGGCAATATTCCAATATTGCACTAGTAGCACCTAAGTTCCTTTTGAGCTCTATTGTGTTGCTATTGCTATGTGGGAACATCTCTGAATTTCTTGGAGGATGATTAGTACTTTGACTGTACCTTCCATCATTGGTATTCCTCGCTTAACCTTCATACAATCCATCAACAGGGGATCGTTGGCTAGGTGGACCATCCTTGGGTTCCACAAGACTAAGTCATAATTGCTTCGTTTGCTCGTAAATGGAGAAACCCGTGAATTGGCTGATCTATCACCCTGTTGTTCTGCTCTTCGCTTTTTGCAGGCCCCCAGACGGGACCCCGCTCTCTCATTTCCCTCTTTCTTTTTCTCCTGTTCAAATCTTCCGTCTCTTCCTTTCTTCTCCAGGCCTCCTACTTTGTACCACGGCTTTGGTGGTAGTCCTTTGCAGACAAGTAAGCTGAACTATCCTACACAACGTGCCATCGATAGGTAAGTGTTATTTCCATTCTCTTGCAGATATATCTTCTCATCAATTTTGTCTTTTGAACATTATTACTTCTTGCTGGCTCATCTAACCTGTATACCGAACGCGTACTTGCGTTGTTACCGAATGGATTAAACTGCAAGTTGACTGACTACACCAGTGCATCGATACTCATCTAGCTTCCATCAACTACAGATTGTCTCTTCAAGATGGCTGGCTGGACACTTGAAGGAGATGGTGACGACACTGGCAACTGGGGTGGTGGCAATGACGGCGGTACGTATCCTCTTGGGAAACAAGTTCCTTTCCCTCAGGATGGCATGTTGTTAATCATGCTCCATCAAATCTTGAAGTTTTATGATACTAAGAGATAAGACAGGTTTCGGTAATGATGAGAACACTAGGCCCGGTGGCTTCAGTACTGAGTCCAGATTCGGTGGTGATGACTTTGCTCCTCTAGCTGAAGGCCATGGCGATGATAATCGGTGCCGGAAGTAAGTACCTTCCTACAGATCCTCACTGTCGCTAACAAGCGATAGCTGTGGAAGCGATGGTCACTTTGCTCGCAACTGTCCCGAACCGCGCAAGGATATGGCCTGCTTTAATTGCGGCGAGGATGGGTATTATTATCATGTGCCTTCTCAATAATATCTTTGATCTGACACAGCGTTAGACACAACAAGTCTGAGTGCACTAAGCCTCGTGTTTTCAAGGGTGCTTGCCGGATCTGCAATAAGGAAGGACATCCAGCTGCCGAATGCCCTGAAAAGGGTCCCGACGTGTGCAAGAATTGCAAGATGGAAGGTATGGCATACGGCATGTTTTAAACAAGTATACATCGCTAATGGCTCGTGAAGGTCACAAGACTATGGACTGCAAGGAAAACCGTCGCTTCGACTTGAATCATATTCCCGACAAGCTTCCTGAGGAGGCTTGGGCTATCCTGAAGAAAGCTAGTGACGAAAGAGATCTCGAGGATTTCCGTGAGGTAGGAAGCACTTATTTGTTACTACTTGCATTTCACATCACGGATGTGAACGTGTGCTCGTTGTACTAACATGACCCAGGGACTTAAGGTGTACTCCAAGTCTCTTCCGCAGGCCACTTTCGTCGACATCGAAATCAAGTTGCGTGAAGAGGACCTCAAATTCTACCTTATCGCGCTGGTAAGAAAGAAGATTCATCTTCCCTGCACACTGAAGCTCTGAGAAGCACGCACGCTAACGCTCTGCCGCCCTCTAGGATAAGGAGGTGAATGATTGTATCAGCCTTATTGATCTTCAGGGGAAGCTGAACTGCACATACGTGGTCGGCTTTTTCTTTAGTCCTAAGCCGCAGCGCGCCAATCTCAGAGAACGCTGGCCGTCTTCCGTCGAGGACAATCTTGAACGTCTTGCTGACGCCGGTCTGCCTTACGATCGGCAGGTGCCCAAGTGCAGCAACTGTGGTGGTAGGCTACAATCAGTGGTTTCGGGTGTTCTTTAGTCGCTAACGGTTTGTAGTTTTGGGTCACACTGCTCGTGGCTGTAAGGAGGAACGAGAGGAACGTGAACGTGTCGGCGTCAAATGCGTCAACTGCAGTGCTGACGGACATCGTGCTCGCGACTGCCCTGAGCCACGTCGCAATGTTTTTGCTTGTCGTAACTGCGGGTAAGCTCACCTTGCAAGACTCGAGATTCTCTACTGACGATAGCAAGCGCGGAGGACCACAAGGCATCAGAATGCCCCAACCCTCGCTCTGCAGAGAACGTTGAGTGCAAGCGATGCAACGAGAGTAAGTCTCAGGCATGTCGTCTATTTTCTTGTTATATGTTGACTTCATAATCTAGTGGGACATTTCGCGAAAGACTGTCCTCAGGCTCCCCCTCCCAGAACCTGCCGCAATTGCGGGTAAGTTTAGAACAGCAATTCCACTGATTTATTCACGTCTCCTAACGTAGCAGATCCGAGGATCACATCGCGAAAGATTGCGACAAGCCGCGTGATGTCTCTACTGTTACCTGCCGTAACTGTGATGAAGGTAGCATCTCCAAGACATCGCCCTCAATTTCTACCGCATAGACTGCTAATACTCATTAACACAGTCGGACACTTCAGCCGTGACTGCCCCAAGAAGCGAGACTATTCCCGGGTCAAGTGCAACAACTGTGGTGAAAGTAAGGATGCCTCCCAACCAAATGATCTACCAAGCATATTCTAACATGACCCTACCCGTCTTATAGTGGGCCATACTATCAAGCGTTGCCCTACCGCCAATGCCGCTGAGGACGCCCCTCAGAATGACAGCCTCAGCTTCAACGCACCCGTCAACGACGAGTGGAATGACAATGGAAGAACTCAACAGGAAAGCGCCCTGGCCGATGAAGGTGAATATAATGCTGGTTCTGCCACTGGTTGGTAGAAGAAGGATGCGGAAAGCAAAGCCGATCAAAGCATGGTGCAGAAGGCGTCGATCACATTCGTCTGGGACGATGTCTGATACCTTTCACGTGTGTTTCTCAGTCGCTTACATGCTTACCTCTCTTTTCGCACAGCAACCAGTTGGCCTTCTATGGTGGGTGATACTTGTTGAGGTTGAACTTTGATGTGTGCTCTTACCGGCTGGTTCGGGTAATCTCCCCTTAATTTTCTTTCTTTTACTTGCAGAAGTCGCTCGGGAGACGGAACCGTTCCTGCTTGTCTTTGCTTGGTGAGTGGAGGATCTGTCAGACTGTTTGACCTGTAAGGTACTAGTTTGAAAAGTTAAATCCCAAAACCTTGTTGCTTTCTAAGTGTGCCGTGGACGTAGATTATATTCAATATTCTGGCTAGAGACTTAGGCCTAGTACCCCCATCATACAACGCATCCACATTAACTCATTTCCAACATAGATATCATAGTAAGCAACAATAGTCCCGAAATAAAAGCCAACTGCACAAAAAGGAAGATTACACATTAAAGATCCACTACCACCAACCCCCTAACTCCCTTACCACCACCCACTCACTCTCCTCCTCCACCCCATAATCTTCGCCCAAAACCCCGGCCTCCACCTCCTCACCCAAAAACCATAATAAACCAACCCAGCGACCCCAATATTAAACCCCACAAAAGCCCACCCGACGCCAAAATCCATCCACCTCCGATCATACCGATACTCCCTCTCCACCAGGAACTGATCCGCAACCGAGTACGGACAATACTCGCAGCTCCTCATTGCATCCGGGTTCATCAACTGCCCCGGCACCGTCCGCAGATAATCACCCAGATACTCGATACACGATTGCCCCGAAGGCGGATTAAACACCGCCATCTCCGTCCTGGTGCAATTAACCGTGACACCATGGAGCTGAGTTGACGTCACTCCAGCAACGAAGTACGTAAACGGGGAGACGCGGTACATGAACATCCAGAAACCGGGGAGAGCGTGGGGCGGCTGCATAACGCCGTTGAAGGTGAGGGCCATAAAAGAGCATATACCTGTTATGAGGGTGGAGGTGGGGACCGCCAGGAGGGCGAAGGTTATCGCGTAGATGAAGAATTGGATAAAGAAGAGGAGGACGAGACCTTGGCGGGGTGATGATTGGGTAGTTCCTGAGATGGGGTAGTAGTAGCTTGCCCAGACGCAGATGCTGAGGATGATTTGGTAGAGAAGTTCGGTGAGGATTATGGAGAGGAGGAGGGATAATCTGGAGTAGGTTTTTGTGTGGCGTTCGCGGGTTTCGTATATGAAGTGTTGTTTGGTGAGGAGAGGGGTGATTTGGTGGACGAGCGGGACGAACAGAGTGCAGATCATGAACGCGGAGAAGATGGTTTCTTGGAGGCCGCTTATCGAGGTGCCGTGTTTGTAGAAGGAGAAGCTGATGATGAGTGCGGCGCAAATTTGGAGGAGTATTCTTGATATGATGTAGAGGGGTGACCGCCAGTAGTATTGAAGGGTTCGGCGGAAGACGATGGGGAATTGGAGATGTAGTGGAATGGCGTATTCTCTGTCTTTTGTTGGGTTGTTGTTCGGGGTGTTGATACTCTCGAATTCTTCGCAGATAGGGTCGACTTTGTTGTTTCTGACCCAGACATCGGACCAGGCCTCCCCGTGTTTATTGGTGGCGGTGGAAAGGGTTTCAACTATGTAGCTGGCGGAGTCTTCGTCTTCTGTGCGGGTCCGGGGGGCACCGTTTGAATCTAGATAGTCTAGCAGTGTTTGTGCATTCTCGCCGGTGGGTCCAAAGTATACAGTTTTACCCTCGCTGGAGAGAAATAGGAGCTGATCTGCTTGCTTGAATGCCATCAAGCTGGGTTGCATTGTGCAGATGATCGTTTGTCCGGCGTCGGCCAATTTCTGGAGGATACGATAGATTGTGCGTGAACTTTGCACGTCAAGGCCGCTGTTACAGACATTAGCTCCTGGTTTATCCAAAGAATATTTGTTCCAAAAAAAGCTTACCTGTCAGGCTCTTCCACGAACAGAACATCTGGCTTCGCAGCCAACTCTACTCCAATACTCAAAAGCCTCCGCTGCTTGACGTTCAAGCCCTCTCCAACAACTCCAATAACAGCCTCGGCGTAATCCTCCATATCCAGTGCCTTGATTATTTGCTCGACATATGTGTATTTGCTTCCCTTGGAGACAGAGTCTGGGTGACGTAGCAATGCGCTGAAACGCAAAGCCTCACGAACCGTGGCCGTTTCCAAATGGATATCCTGCTGTTGAACATACCCGATTTTTCGCTGGAAACTTGGGCTCAAAAGGCAGTTGCTGAAGAGTATGTCCCCACTGACAGCTCCTATTGTGGTACGTTGCGCCAACACTTTGAGTAATTCCGTCTTCTGTGTACTGTTAAGGCTCATCAATGCGGTGATTGTCCCTGGCTTAGCCCAGCCAGTCACCTTGTCCAGGACCCGATGGTTTCCACTGCTTGTGTTTGTTTCGTATATCACATTGCGCCAGCTCAAACTGTTTCGCTGAGGCTCAATGAAACTAAAATGATTCAATCCCACATTGCCAGCGGTATCTTGGCCGGGAGTCACAGAACCTTTCCCAGCTTCTTCGTCCTCTTTGTGATGCTCTTCGTGCCTAACGCAAGCAGATTTACTTCCTTGAAGCAAAGAAAGTCTTCCAGAATGGATAGTTGGGTGTGAAATAAATTGCGTCGCAACGAAATAAAGACCCATCCAACCGACCAGGAAAACAATAAGAATACCAAAATTTCTCCACACGTGGTCGTAGGTATACCTGTAGGTCTGCCAGATATAATCATCACCACTAACAGTACGGCGGCCAGCGAGAGCTCCGACAGCTGAGCAGATATATGCATTCGTCTGGAGGTTGGGGTGAGATGGTATGAACTCAGCACATCCAAACTCCCTACCGTGGAACTCGTTGGCGACTAGGGCTTCATATGCGTAGTAGACGGGGTTGATATCATGGACGAATTCGAACCAATGATGCATCCGAGGGACGGGGATAATGAAGCCCGTAAATATGAAAACCCAAAGTACCAGCATCCCAGCAAGAGCTCGTGCTTGCGCGAGCGTTTTTGTTACTGTTGCTGTCATGTGAAAGGCTGCACTTGTCACATGGATCAACACGAAGTTGATCAGGAAGCATATGAAGAATTGCGAAGGTTCGCGACGAAGGTTGCTCATGAAATAGATGACAATTGTGTTCACCAAGACAAGTAGAAAATTAATTGGGATTTCACTCAGGAGCACGGCTAGTGATTCGGCCATGGGATGGTAGAAGCCAAATGAGGCATGTTTTTTCACCACCGGACGCTGGGAAAGCTGACTGCTCAACTCGGCAAGTGGTAGAAGAGAGTTGAGCATCACTAGGTAGAAGAGCACTGCACCCTTGGAGAAAAATCCGGCTGTCGTTGCAGGCGTGTTGTAGAACATTGAGCCAATAAGCAGCGCTATAATGAAGTTAACTGTGATCTTGCATGCTGCTGAAGCACGTTCGTTCCAAACACGCTGAAAAGCGCGTATTATAGTTAGTCTGACTTGCAGCATCAGACTAGGGTACTGCGAATAACTCTGTACTCGGACTGGCTGCTTCTGTTGTTCGTCCAGATTAGGATCTGGCAGTTGTTCTCTCGAGTGGGACACCGCTATCTGCTTATGATCACTCATCTCCCTCTGCAGCCCTTGATACTCTGCGGACTGGCACCAGTACGTCTCAAACTCTTCCGAAGTTCGGGGAACTCTGTTCTCCATATCCCGACGTGGCTGCCTCTCTGTGGGATTGGTAGTTGAGGTCAAAAATTCGGCAGTACTCTGCTGTGGATGGCAATACCACCCTTGGCGCTCGAAAAAGCCCTTGGCTTCAGAAGAAGGGCCGTAAAATATCTGACGGCCCTCGTATAACAACAAGGTTTTGTCAAAGAGACCATACGTTGCTTCGCTGGCTTCATATGCAGCTACAACATGGGATGATGAGCCCAGATCTGCCGCCAGCCGCAAAGACTGCACAAATTTCAATGCCTTTGTTGGAGCTAGACCCTGAGTTGACTTGTCCCATGCAGCTAAAGATGCTCCCGACAGGATAATCTCGGCAATACTGACTCGCTTGCGCTCATCTTCTGTCACGTCTTTGACTTGAGTGCTGTACGTGTGGCTCAGACCGAACACGGCAATAACAGCTTTCGTCATAGCTTTTGCATATTCTGTCCGCGTTATTCCCTGGAGATTCTGGATGGGAGCTCGTATAGATGCTGCAAACTCCAAGGTCTGTCCAACCGTCAAATGCGGGAAATGTTTGTCGGTTCCGGAGCTATAAAGCATTGCTCTCTTGACATTACTGGGTGCCTGCTGGTGTGGGATGCCATTGTAATGAATAACCGATTCAGGACCCAGCTTCAAGCCATTAAGCTCTCCGCACAATGATTTTGCGACAGTACTGCATCCAGCTCCAGGCCGTCCTAAGACAAGCAGCAGTTCTCCATGATCTAACACGCCATTTAGATTCCGTATGATCTCCTTGGGGGATTTGCGGCTCGGGCTGAATGTTTCTCGCGGACGCAGTAGGGCGGAAAAGACGCTCAGAGCCGTCAGTCTACGATGAACCTGGGGCCTAGTTCCCAGAATACGCAGGTTTTGAAATTTCATGGCCGAGATCTCTTTGTATGTGCCCTGGTTAAACATGTGCATGATATTTCGAAGCCACCCGTATAAACCGAAATCTCGGCGCTCTGGGCTAAGATACGGCTTGCTGGACGAGGCATTGGTCAGTTGACTGACACGAGCAAAGACTTCATCATTGGCAAGCTTGATAAGATGTAACTTCTCGGTTGGATCTAGAGAAGCACGGGTTTCTGTATAGATTAACATATTGTTGATCTTCTGGTCTGCCATTCGGGATCGTTTTGATGACAGAGATCCAACTTCGGATATCGAATTCCTCTCATCAACAGCAATTTCGTTAT